AATGTATATATTTTTTATTTTTAACAAATCATATATTTAATTGTTTATTTTTTTATACTGAAAGTAACTTTTTGAAATGGAAATCCACATTTAATTTCTGTATCTTATAAGAAAAAAAAAGGTTTTGGTTTGAAGTATTTTCTTTCATATGAATTTTTTTTAATTTAAAATTAAGATATATATATATATATATATATATATATTATAATAAATAAAGAAGGTTAATGAAGAGTGGTAGATGGTGCGTTTTGGTTCACCGCGTCTTCTGATGAGGCACGTGGCAGCAGTAGAATTCTCCACATTAAGCGCTCACCGGCTCTATATAACTTTGAAGCCCAAATTCTATGAATCAACGAGTAGAGAAATTGAATTGAACGAAGAGATGGAGCGTGGTGGATCAGGGTTCCATGGGTACGAGAGACCCCCCCTTGGTGCTGGTAAATTCATCCTTTGCTATTTTATTTTATATGAATTCATTACATTAATTCCGATACGTGGTGATGATGATGGAATTAGATGCAGGTAGTGTAATTTGTGGAATGTGGATTAATTAAGTTGTAGCTTAATTACTCACTACATACAGGTCAGGTATTGATCATGTTGTTGATCCATTTGAATGCATGAATCATATGCATCCCATGGATTCATTCATTTGTGAGCTGAGCTGAGCTGAGCTGAGCTGAGGGTATATATATATATATATATGATCGGAGAGACCAGCTGATTGTTGGCGATGAAAACAAGAAAACAATTACTCTACTGCCTAGTATAGTAGTAAGATGGAGAAGGAGAAGGATATTTTAATTTGTTTGAAAAATCAAGAATTGATGGAATTTCTATTATCATACATATATATATATATATATATATATATATAGGCCTAATCAAATGAAAACTAATTAGTTTGTGGTAACCGTGAAATTCAATATTAACCACAAATCAATAGATAAATTAGGAAATTTATAATTTTGGTAATTTTGAATTAAAATTTTAATGCAAGAACATTTTTGGTATTTTAAAACTCTCATCTCTCCTCTCTTCTTCTCCGGCCACCGTCATTCGGTGATACCACAATGGTATCACAATGCATCATATATGTGCATGGGTATCACATTGAGGTCGTTTGTGTGGTCGATCGGAGATATAACATAGTGGTTTCACAATGCATCTTATATATGCTCAGGTATCACACTGTATCTTTTGTTTAACAGAGTTAATATTTTTATGTATCACAGTAGTATTACCGGAGGACGGTGGCCGGAGGACGGAGAGAGAAGAGAGGAGAGAAAATACTAAAATGTCCTTGCATTAAAATTTTAATTCAAAATTACCAAAATTATAAATTTTCTAATTTATCTATTAATTTGTGGTTGAGATTGGATCTCACGATTACCACAAACTATTCAGTTCTTTCTTGAATAAACCCCTATATATATATATATATATATATATATATATGATTATACATATTTACAGATAACATCTTTAATTATCAATAATTACGTTTCAACGTGATATTTTCGTAATTATTCTCCAAGAATAATTATATTTATAATTAACTTGATTTAATTCGGGTTTCTACAAATAAAAGCAAATATATTCTTTGTATGCGACATTATATTATATTACATGTATCGTATAATAACTTACATAATTATATTTATTAATAAATTAAAACAATAAAAATATTTAATAGATTTAAATCATTAAAGTTTGTAGTTAACGTCTACCATTCTATTAAAATTAACTAGAAGGATACTCACATAATGCAGCGACATACATTTTTATTTTAATATTTTGTTTTATTTTTTGTCATTGTTAATATAATATGGTTTATGTCGTTTTGAGAAAGATATTGTTTTCACTTTTGAATAAAAATAAATTTAAAGATATCATAAAAATTTGAAAAAATATATCAATATTAATATAAAATTAACTATTTAAAAGTTTTTTTAATACAATTTATTTAAGTCAACTTTTTATTATAATTTAATTTAGGTCTAATAACGAAGTAATTTATTTTTGACTTAACAATATAATTTTTATAAAGATAATAATTTTGTTATAACTCAATGATTATTCTAATTATATTTTAGATTGTTTTTTATTTAAAATGAGATGTTTATCCTATATTTGATTATGTTTATCTTGTATTTGATTATGTTTATCTACAGTTAGTTATACGAATTCAAAAATGAAGCTTTAATAAGTTGTATCTACGCATAATTACTTGTAATCTTAAATTTTAAGTAATATACATTAATAGTACTTTATGCATTAAAAAATAATTTTTAAAATTTTTTGTCAAATACTTTATAATATAGTATAGATTAATAAAACCCAATCCTCTATATATTAAATATTACCCATAAGGAAATGATATCACTTTACCTCAAAATTCAAATAAAATATAGAGTAAACAACACTTGGTTTTTAAAAAATAATAGTTCTAAAATTATAAGACAACTATCATAACAAGAATGATACTCGCACAATACAGCGAGATACATTTCAATTTTAATATTTTTTTTATCTTTGTCCCTATTGATATATACGGTTTTACATTGTTTTGAGAAAACAATAATGTTTTTATTTTAAATAAAATATAAATTTAAAGATATTATACAACTTTGAAAAAAATATATATCCATATTGGTATAAGTTAACTATTTAAAAATTCTC